ATATTGTGTCTTGGGCTCAGGTAGGGAGAGAAGCCGGACTTGGACATCTAAACAAATACATGGAGTAGCGTTAGCCTCTCTAGTATCAAATATGGAATTGCTTAAACCAAATATGGACTATTAATAGTATTATCTTCATTCCCTCGGTCCTTTTAAGGAGCGCCAAAAAACATTTTGCTTGGGAAGTCCTTATGGTACACTCAAATGACTCCATGGTTAATATCAGCCACATAAACAATTCTGTCTCTATCCAAGCTGCATGGCCACCAATTAAGGCAAGATTTCATCATTTCCATTGAGTGACATTTTAAAATTTTTGCATTGCACAACTTACAAAGGTTTTATTAAGTGGGTATAGGAAATCTGTGGTATTCTCAAGTGCAGAAGTTAGGGTGATACACAGAAAATGGATGTTTGAGGTGTGAACTCTGTGTGGCAAGTTTAGTCTATCCACCCTATATATAACTGATATTTATTTAGTTGTTAGCCCAAATACCCAATTATGGTATGATTTATAAAATGGACAACAGTCAGTATAAACTCAACTCATTAAAGTAACTGTTGTTCTGTCTATGTACTGAGTGGGCAGCATTTTATCTTGTCTACTTATTAGTCTTTATCCTGACTATGGACTATGTGAGGGCACAGACATCTTCTGTATACTGCTGTCATCATATTACCCAACACAGCACTCAGTAAATATTTGCTGAATGTGGGAATAAATAAATGAGTAAACAATAAGGCCGCATTAGTTCTATTATAAACAAGAGAAAGACAAGCAAATGTGTAAAGGGAATGCTTTACTTTTAGAGAATGGTTATAAATTTTTGAAAATCTTAAATTCTAAATATTAAAACAATCTTCACTTAATTTAGCAAATTTGTCATTTCCATAACCCACTCTTCCCCTCTACCACCAGTCCCCATGGGCTGCTTCTAGTGTTTCTACTTAAGAAAGGCAAAGGTAATGAGTAAGAGGCATTATTTTCAATCAGATTGGCGGTTAATACATCCTGTCTCAAATGCCATTCATATCATCTTTCTAACAGAGATTAATGTGCCATGAACCAATTATTTACACCAGAAAAGGAGCAAACATGAAGAAATGTTATGAAAGTTCCCAATTAAAAGCTTCCCCTAGGCTCATCACATCTCTCAAACATCAAAAACCATGGATGAGCAGAGTCAGTAAATAATGCATTAAATATGACTGTGTAGAGCAGAAAGATCACCAGATTCCTCTTGGTATAATCATATAACAGCCCACCTGTTCAGATAGATGGACAGACAGATAGATATAAATAGAGACAGAAAGACAGTTAAAAAGAGAAAGTGAAAATAAAACATCTCCTCTTTGTAAGAAGGTAGCAGATGCATAACTATGTGCCCTCTTTCGGCAGACCCTCCCCAATCCTACCCCACTGGCTGCATATCGTATTGGCTAAAAGCACTGCTCCAATCCTGCTCACTGTGTATCTTAACACACTATTACCATAGAGTTGCTTCCTTAGAGCCCAGACTCTCCTGTACCCAGGCAAACAATGTTATTGCTGATTCACAGATCACAATTATCTAAAGCATGACCTACTTTTTTTCATGAAAAGCACCAACAGTTGACATTGATGAGTACTCACAAGCAGCCTCTTAGGTCACTGTAACTTAAGTCCTTATGGAACTGTAATGGTGAGTTTTAATTGTGAACTTTAGCAAGGTTTAGAACGAAGAGTGTATAAATGAGGGACTGTCTGGACCAGGTGGGCCTAAGTCCATGTCTATTAGAGACAGCCTTGACTACTAGATCTTCGCTTTTATAAAAAAAGAAAACTCCTAGCCCACTGTGTTCACAACCATTACCTGGGCAGAAGACCCAGAAGTGCATCTACCTCTTGGTGTAACAATCACATAGCAACTTCTTCTCCAGACAGTGGCAGAACACTAACAGCCACATGTTTATTTCTCTCTTTGATCTCCAGTGTGCATGTGACATGCTGGGTTAAGTCTTTACCTTGACTTCTCAACAATGAGGAACTGTAAACTGAAGAAAGCCTTTCTCCCTGAAGTTGCTCTGGCAGGGTACTTTACTACAGCAACAGGGCACAGAACTAATCTAGCTCCTGTATCCATATCCCCACAATGAAAGGACCATTTGAAGCTCAATTAAAGTGCACACAACCTCTTTCGCCCATCTCCTCTTAAACATTAGCAAAGCTGTCAACATGGTCTTCTCCATCACTATTAAATAATTCAGCTCTGCTTTGTCAGAGCAGTTAATTAAATGAAACCTGGGAGCGAGCAGGGGAGATGCTCTATCACCATAAGCACTCATGTAGATATAATGCTAATCCTGGAGGCCATGACAACCTACCTCTGTGTAGCCTTTGTTGGTCTTTCTACAAGTTCGTTGGCATCCATGACTAAACATACCATTGAGCGCCACATGCCCCATTGAAACAGGAATCTGGTGCCATCGATACCCAAGAATGTGCCTGAGCTAAGTATATTCCAACTAATGTAACTTTTGTCTTGTTCACTATATATGGCATTTTTTTTTCTGTTACAAGTCACCCCTAACAGAAGTGTCTATAATAGGAAAAGTAATTAAGACAGTACTATTCCAAAAGACAGATACAGCTGACCAAAAGTGTCAAGCAGTCCAGAAATAGCAGATCCTTAGCAGAAGCCTACTATGAAAGTTGTCTAATGTTGCACATCCCTGGTGAGAGGGATTCTTCACTCAGTGAGGAGTGCATGCTATCACACGTCCTGGTGAAAACCTGCACAGCCAAAGAAACACATGCCAGCAGAGCCAAGACTTAAATACGAGACACAAGATTTGAATAGGGAAACAGACAAAGGAAAGTGAGTCCAGGGGTGTGAGCTGGCATTTCAAAGAACAGGAAGCAAGGGTGAGAAATAATAAATATGAAAGTGGCTCCATTTCATCAGAATGGAAATTCATCAGAAAACAGAAATCAAGTTAATGAGCTGGTACAACTTCATACTTTCTGTATTATCAAAAATGGAAAGAAAAAGAAACAATTCAGTAAGAATCCTATGAAACAAAGATCTTTGTACATAAGTGGTAGTTGTCTAAAATGGTCACTTTTAAAGGTAATTTATTTTACTTAGTCAAGTGGGGAATATAGTATGATAGGTCTGCATTCTGACCATTCCTAGACATAAATGCAAAGGCCCTTTTAGTGGTGTAGAAGAATGCCACATATTCCAATGATTCATTGTAATAGAGAAAACAGAAAAGTTGGCAAGGACCTCTGGATGTCACTCAGGTGTACAGAACTTATAAGAACAAGGCAACACAATCAAGAAGGAATGTCAAAGCCATGGGAAGGGTGGCTTCTTAAAGTTGAGCCACATGCTGGATAAAATCATATCACAAACTGCTTGTGGCAGGTAAGATGACAGTTTTCTTCAGATCATTAACTGAAAATATATATTACTTAGGCAACATGCACACATATGCCTTCTCCTATGATATGTTTGTCAATTATACAGATGTTTCTGGGTCCCCTTCTACTGATCTAAATTAGGATTTTTCCATTTAGTGTGGTAAATCCCAGACTCTTCATGTGTTTCACTTCTAATTCACAGGAAAAATGTCTAAATAGGAACCAAGAAAAACAAGTTTTCTTTTGTGTTGCGGTACAGAATATGCATCAGCACCTAGACACTTGCTCACTCTTCTCAGCTGCAAGACACCCTATAGAATGTAGGGTTCATTCCCATGTCAAGATAGCTCCTACTTCTGTTGGACCACATTGTGAATAGAAGAAAAACACAACTCAAACCCCAGTCACAGGGAGAAGAAATGCAGAGAAATGATGCTAAAGCTAAAACATTACTACATTACTGAAATATTTATCTGTAATACATGACAAACAGAAAATTCTATTTAACTTGATTATCAAAGAAGACAAAAGAAATTCAGCAAAGATCTTCAAGTAAAATACTTTCATAATACACAAATTATACTGACTTAAACATTCTTAACAACACTCAACCTTGTTGGACATATACACATGAGGCTAAAAGAGGAACACTGGTCTGGCTTACAGTAGTGCTTCTGTGTCGATGAAATATCTCAGCTCACCAGATCTTGAACATTGTTGGAAACCATTGTGCATTCCTATCTTGCATTTTTATCCTGAATGTCAAAATTTGTTCTTTAAACTGTATACCTTCCTCCTGACAAGACTTAATCTTCTTATTTCCTCAATCACATAGTTAGGTATCAGTGTGTCATTTAAATAATGTGCATCTTTAAATACAGCTTTTGCCTGTGCACATTTATGCATGCGTGTGTGTGTGTGTGTGTGTGTGTGTGTGTGTGTGAGAATGTGGGGGGGCATGTGGTATATGCATGTATATGTGTATGCATGCCTGCACAGGACAAAAGCTAATACAGGGTGTCTAACTCAGTTGCTTCTCTACCTTAATATTTTGGGACAGGACATCTTTGGTTTAGCCTGGAGATTACAGCCTCAGATATGTAGACTGGCCAAAGAGTTACAGAGTTCTGTCTCTGTCCACCCCACGTTGAGATTATACACCAGCTATGTGGGTGCTAGAGATCTGAAATCAGGCACTCACGCTGGCATGGTCATCTACCCAACTCTTTTTAAATGCCTTCTTTATCTCATTGACTTGATTTTCAGGAAGCTCAAATATAAGATTAATGATAAAGGTAATTTGGATTGTCTAGTGCAACTACAATCCTTTACATAGCTATATTCTCTATTTTCTATTATAAGCAGTTGTATTTATATATAGTTTGCACAAATTATATAGAGGTAGATAAAAAACGGAAAATAATCACTGAATACATGTATGAATGAGTATCCTGTTTTGTTAAGACCTTAGTTTAAATAAAATTTGAACGTGTTTGTAAACTTAGGTCAGTCAAAAACAAAGCAAAGATCCCATTTAAATCAACATGAAAACAGCAGTATTCCATACTGCTGGAACTGCAGATGTTTCACTCACTTGCAGATGTCCTCTTCTGGATCTTCCAGCCCAAATCTCTCATCGAACGTCAGCTGGATCCGCATGTTTTCATCGGCTGCAACTAATCTCCACACCAGCACAGTGTTTCTTGGGTAAGTGTGGGGAAACTTTGGGCTGTGAATGCTCCCATTAGCAGATACTGTGACAATTCTCTCATGCTGAGGATCTTGCACTCCTAAAGCAAGCACACAGGCACAGATGTATATTAGAACAGATGTTTCCAAAATCACTGCTTTCAAAACAATTGGCTACTTTTGTTATTCACAGGTGTTGAAGCCAAGCATGCATTCTGCAATAGAAATCAAGTGTCACTCTTCAAAATGTATCCTTTTTTAAGGTATGTGTTTTACAATGGAAGGAAACTAAAAGTTAGTCTTTTTTTAATCTAGTTACTGAAATGTAAATTATTAACTTTTTGGACTCTAAATGAGTTTGATATAATTCTATAATATCTATCATTTTTTTTTGAAGCAGGATCCCATGTAGCTCATGCTATCCCCACACTATGTTGCTAGGCTTCAACTCCTAATTATCCTATGTACATTTTCCAAGTGTTGGTATTATAGGCTTGACCCAACAAAATAGTTATATTTTCAAAAAAAATACAAATGTTTCCTAAATAGCAATGGAGTTGGCTAGCTAGGGTGAATTTATTTCACAGTTTGCACTAATTTTATTTATGAGAAAATATGAAATCCCTGGAGAAAAAGAAATGTGAAGCTATGTGAAATGGAACATTATAGAAAGAGGTCATCAGTTCCTCCCATATTTAATGGAATGGTCAACAGCAGACCACATCACAAGCTTGCAGACCTCTCTATCTACTCTTATTCCCAGTCCATGAGAAACAGCCAACAAAATAATGCCAGTAAGAGCTTATTATTAAGGTTTCTAGCAAGCGGTCTCCAGGAGAAGCTTAGGATTTCAGAGGAACTGGAATCATTAACTGACTCCAGTCTTATATGACCTTCCAAACTAGTGTTTCTCAATCTCTGGATTTTGACCCACTTGGGAGTCACATATCAGATATCCTGCATATCAGATATTTACATTGTGATGCATAACAGTAGCAAAATTCCAGTTATGAAGTAACAAAGAAAACAATTTAATGGTTGGGGGTCACCAAAGCATGGGGAACTTTATTAAAAGGTTGTAGCAATAGGAAGGCTAAGAACCACTACTCTAAGAACCACTACATTAAAGCAAAATGATAGCCTCATTTTTTGTCATAAGAGAACTTCATTGCCATATAAAGACAACAAAATACAGCCAACCATGCAGCACTTCACAATGTCTTAGTTGGTTACCATGGATTTTTGAACTTCTAAAAGAAGAATGTACCATACAATATAGTACCTGAGCTGCCCTGACTGGAGTATTTTCTGTCTATAAAGTGAGACATTCATATATCTCTCAAACTATATGACTGATACTATCTTCTTTTTTTTTTTCTTTTCATGTGTTTGTAGCCACAAAAAGAAATGCAGATGTTTACTCACTTAGAATGAAGAACTAAGATAGTTAAGTCTTCAGGCCATTAAAGTCCATTCATAAAGCAAAACAAACCAAAAACTAACAAATTTTAAACCCTCCTTCATTTAATTTTTCATATTATGCTATGAAAATTTTTCCAAAGACTAAATGTATCTGAACACATGAAGGAAGAAGCATAGCAGGATGCATGACATGATGAGTTGGTGGTTTCTATTCTCATAGTAGCATCAGGCCACTTAAAATGATGTGTCCAGAGAACCACTCAGATGGAGACATGCTGTAGCACAGTGAGCCCTGTTTGCATCTAGATCCTAGAGAGCGGAAAGCATCGATATCACAAAGCATCACATGGTAGCCCACTTTTCAATGACTAGGCTTTCAGATGTGCAGACACCTATAGTCATAGAGTTAGTTCTTGATACCAACCTTTCCTTATATCCCTTCAGTCTACAGCAGTGTTAGTAGGGCCTATAAAACCATCACATTACAAATGAAGCTGGGCTCTTTTCTTTTTGTACTTTGCTTTTCTGACATTTACATCTCATACCCTATCACCTCCCATAACTTTTAGTCAATAAATTTCCTAGTTTTCTTATTTTTAAGTAATTCTTATTTTTAATTCAATTTTACTTTTTTATATGTATGAGCATTTTGCCTGTATGTATTTCTGTGTACCTGGTGCCTATGGAGGCCAAAAGATAATGTCAGATCCCTTGGAATTATAGTAAGGGATAGTTGTTAGTCACCATTTGGTACTGGAAATCAAGCCTGGGTCCTCTAGGAGAATAGCCAGTGCTCTTAACTGTTGAGCATTCTTTCTTAAAATATGGATTTCACACTACTGACCTCACTCCCTTAGTACTAGGAGGAACTCTAAGCTGTCCATCAAGCCATCTTGCCCTTGTAGAGCCCTTTGCTCAAGTGTGAGGCCTGCTGACTCAGACTCAATCAAGAGGCAGGTTTCTTGGGAGGGCATAACCCAAGTATACTGAGCTCACTGAAAAAGTTGGGTTTGTCTTAACCTAAGAGAAATCAATGTGAGAGATTCAGTGGGAGACAGATTCTTGTTTTGAACATATAAGATCTTTTAAAGCTTGAGGTATGGTAGACCAGGGATGCCAGGCAAAAGGCAAATATAATATGAACCTTATTCTGTAACATAAAGAAACATGAAGGCATTGAAAGCAAATGCCTTTCAGCTATGTCCAGAAGCAAGGACAGTCTTAGTAAACTGGCTTAGGTCTTAGGAGATGCTGAGTAGTAACTCTGTTATATAGAACTCACACTGACTACATAAAGAAACAAGAATTATTACAGACATTTATGCTACTAAATATGTGTCAATTTCCTGTACACTATTAGAAAATTAACATTCTACTGTATAAAAAGCAGCTTGAATTGCAGATATTTCCTTTTCTCCTCAGTCTTTATTTTCAGTAATTATAGTAATTGTTTAAAGCTGTGTTACTAAAACCAAGTTGATGAAATAAAATTTAGGAATGATGAATTTTTAAAGGCATATGGGTTATTGATACAAGGGAATATTATTAAAGTGAAAGAACAAAACTGTTTCATCCTTAAGCCATTCAGAGTGATTTTTTTCATGGTATTACATAACCTAATGCTACATTTCTGCATAGTCAGACTAGTTCTTGGGAGCAAGTACCTGCCCAAAGAGTTTTCTTTTTCCAGGGTGTTAATAACTGATACTGCATTTACTCTGCTTACTTACATAAAATAATCATGGCTTGAGACTAGCTTTTTGGTGGAACACTGGCCCAGCATGACCAATGCCCTATATCCCATCCCCAGTAGCATACATACAAGAATAAATAAGTAAGTAAATAAATACATGAATAAGTATAAATGTATATAAGTAAATAAAAGCACTATCTTTCCTGTGAAAATAACTAGATACCAGTATATATCTTAGGATCAATGAGGTGGCCATCATCATAAATTTTATTTATAACAACCATGAGATATTCAGATATTCATAAATTATATTTAATTTTATTAACTTATTAATTTATTTTACACCCTAACCACAGCCTCCTCTTCTCTTGCTCCATTCTTCTATCCTCCTTTCCAGCCCCCTATTCACCCCTCATCCATAATAGCTCAGAAAAGAGCAGGTCTCCCACAGGCCTCAGCAAAGCATGACATTATCAAGTTGCCATAAGACCAAACACCTCTCCCTGTTTTCGGCCTATGCAAGGCAATCCAGCGTGAATAACAGGTTCCCAAGAGACTGTCAAAGCACCAAGGACTGCCTCTGCTCCCATTCCCAGGAATCCCACATATAACTCAAGCTACACAATTGTCACATATATGCTGAAGGCCTGGGTTGGTCCCATAAAGGCTCCCTTGTAGGTTCAGACTCTGTGAGTTCCCATAAGTCAGGTTAATGGTTTCTGTGGGTTCTCCTGTGATGTAGCTGACACCCCTGTGTCCTCAATCCTTTTCTCATCTGCTCAGCATAACTGCCTGAACCAGGCCCAATGTTTGGCTTTAAATATTTGAACCTGGCTCCATGGATGAGTCTCTCTGCTGACAGACAGGGTAGTCATCAATCTGATCAGGGATGGCAGTTCAGGCTATGCATCAACTTCTGACTGGTGTCTTAGCTGGGCCATCCTTGTAGATTTGTCAAAATTTCCCTTGCATCAAGCTTTTACCCAATTCCAAAAAGCTGCCCTTTCCAGGCATCTCTTTCAGCACTGCCCCTCTCTTCCCACCCCCCCAACCCAATCCCTCAAGTTGCTGTGCCCACTGCCCGCCCCCACCACAGTCAAAAGAGGGGATCTCCTGTATTTTTCCCTTCCCAGGGAGATCCCCTCATTGGGCCCTCCATGTTACATAGTCTGTCTAGGTCTGTGGATTGTAGCATGGTTATCCTTTACTTTATAGTTGATATCAAATTATGAATGAGTAAATAACAAGTGTGTCTTTCTGGATCTGGGTTATGTCATGCGGGATGACTTATTTCTAATTCTAACCATTTGCCTTCAGATTTGCTCTAATATGTGTGCTACCTTAGTCTAATACAATATAGAAGAGTGGTTCTTAACCTGTAGATCAGATCCCATTTGGGGACAAAGGAACCTTTCAACATTGGCCTAAGTCCATCAGAAAATGCAGATATTTACATTATGATTTTTAATACTAGCAACATTATACTTATAAAGTAGATATATGGTTGGGGGTTCACCAAAACACTATTAAAGCACTGCAGCATTAGGAAGGTAAAGAACCACTGATTTAGAACAAAACTATTGGCTGTTGAAAATTAGAACTCTATTTTCATATGCACAATCAAAAGTTCATGACTAAAGTACATACAATTAGCACTCTATTTACAATTTTTGTCTTTATAACTCATGATTAAACATCATTTCAAGAAAAACATTTCTAGCCTTTGTTTGAGGTAATAAGAATTGTAAATTCTCATTTATGTTAAAATTGTAGCTTCCAAAATTCACTTCAAAATGTGAGGTAAATGAGGTCTGCCACCAACATCTGTGATTTACAGATGACAGTCAGTGTTTCATGGAGATTTCAAGCAACCAGACCTATAATCAAAAAGGAAAAAACGAGAGAAGGAGGGTGGAGACAACAACAGGCATTAAACTCTACCAAATTAAGACTCTGCACTACAATTCTGTGGTCTTTACAGAACTC